TATATATATATATATATATATATATATAATACTGTGTTGCTGTTATCTGCATACAAAAGTAATGACTTGACAAAATTTTGTAAATATCAATCCAGAAAGCAATTAGCAAGTTTTCTAAAATAGAGGTTCATAAGTCTTGAAATATTGACAACTATAACTGAACATTAGATTTAAACCTATCGCAATGGGCTCAGTATAAAATTCTGAGTTCGTATACATGTTTGCACATGTTAAGTATTTATACTATAACTTTTAATAAAATAAATGTATCTTCACAAAATTTGGTAGACTTTTAGTAAATATTACAAGTCTTTTGTACACAAAAAAATCAGATTTTTTAATGAAGTATTTTTACTAAAGATTTGTTTGTGAATATATTGAGTCTGTTTTGTTACTAGTGCGAAGTGATTTTCATGTTATGATCAAAAAACTATTCCTCTTCCCAAAAATCTCAAATATAATTTGTATAATCTCTAAAACCTTTTAAATAACTTTCAAACATTTAAAAGTAAAACTATATATTTTATCTATTACTTTCTCTACCCTAACTCTATACAAGGTTGGTCAATTTGATTGACCTTGTAACCACCAATAAAAATCCAAATAAATCTAAATGACCCTTTTTTCTTTCTAGAATTACTTCAAATTGTAACATGAAACTACATTTGTTTATAGTATTGAATAAAAACCCTATAACCTGAGCACTTTTGAAACGTAGACCTTTCTTCTTCAGTTTGCCCTTGAAGAAGAAAGGTCGAAGTTTTGAAAGCACTCGGGTTATAAGGTTTTTATTCATTTCTATCAAGACTTCTTTGACCTATGTGCTTTTATAGTATCATGAATTTGTTTATAGTAAGTAGCTTTAAACTCATAACAGTATACAACTATTTATACTCAACTTGTATTGTGTTATTACCCTTTGAACAGTGTCTAACTACTATTCATGCCATTATAAGGCCAGTATCTAAAATAAGAACCTCCCACTTTCTTTATTTTCTAAGATATCAGTAAGTTTGTAACACCCACAACAGAATTTCTTACAAACTCTTGATTTTTAAATCACATATTTACTCATGCCTACTTCTCAGAGGTAAATTTATATAACCAAGAAAAAGGAATTTGTGAATTACGTGATTATGAAACTCTATGATAAAATATGCCTTTTTGTAAGCGTATTTTTACTATGCATAGACTGAAGTTGGTAGACTGATAAGTAGTGAAATTTTCTAAACCTAATTATAGGCTAATTAGAAAGCCAGATAAATTTTGGTAGTTTTGGGACAATGTATTTTACTGCATGTTTTAAATTGTGTTTTTGAAAGCTACATTAACATTAATTACATTTTGAACAACCAACATAGTGTTAAAAAAATCTTAATGCAGTCTTTGTTGACTACAAATAGGCCTATGGGCAATGGTAAGTGGTAAATTTTTGTTTTTATTAGTATTTTTTACTTAGAGATATATTATAACAGATGTAACTAAAATATAAAGTTAAAAACTTGTTAGTTTTGAAAACAAAACATAAGTGAAAAAAAAAATCATCATCATCTCAAGCAACACATGAGCAGATAAATGTGTATGATGTAATATGATCCATTTGTTAACTCTGCTGCTTGTCACAGTAATTAGAGAACAATAAAAAGAGAATTAAATGAAAGCAGTTACGAAAAGTTGAGAAGCCTAAAGCTCCTAAGAAAAACAATTAATTATCTGTTGCACATTGTAGTCATTCTAGTAAAAAAATTAAGGTTTTTTTTGTTTTGTTTTTTCATATTTTCCAACTTTAGCAACAGGTGATTTCACTACAGTTCAAAGTTAGGATAGAGAAAATAAGAGATGAAGTATAAAGTTTTACCGGGGGAAAAAAATGATATTTATTTTAGCAGTTGTGCAAATAAAATATGGAAACTGTAAGGTGAAAAAAAAATTCTTCAAATGAAAATAGTCTTGCACTCATAGGCCCGGCATGGCCAGGTGGTTAAGGTGCTCGACTCTCGATATGAGGGTCGCGGGTATGAATCCCCGCAACACCAAACATGCTCGCCCTTTCAGCCGTGGGGGCATTATAATGTATAGGTCAATTCCACTATTCATTGGCAAAAGAGTAGCCCAAGAGTTGGTGGTGGGTGGTGATGACTAGCTGCCTTCCCTCTAGTCTGTCACTGCTAAATTAGGGACAGCTAGTGCAGATAACCCTCATAAAGCTTTGTGCGAAATTAAAAAACAAACATCTTGCACTCAGATTAGTTCAGACATGAGTCAGACTGACTCGGTAAAATCACAGATAAATCTTTGGGAAAAATACTGATTTTATATGTAATGTTTGCTAAAAGTTTCAAATTTCATGAAGATTACACTTGGTAAATTTTGAATTATAGTAAACATAGCCATCTATATAACTTCACGTAGGGTTAATATATTGCTTTGTTTTTCATAATTAAACACATCTTCATTATCTTTGCATCATATCAAAATTATAAACAGAAAGAACCAACACATCTTAAATTCAATTATTATTGTTGATAATTTTCTTTCTTTTTTTTTCACAAGGGTCATTTACCAGTAAAAAGTTCGGGAGCAAAAATTAAACATTCCTTACCACTATACAATAAAGGAACAATTCCAGTTGAACTAGACCTGAGAGTTAAAGACAATAGTGCTTTTCAAGTTTCTCCTGTTAAATGTTACCTTGAACCTGAGGATGATACCAACTTAATGATCACCTTTGAACCAAGTTTTAATGGACGTCCAGCGACTGGGTAAGATTTTTTTTATAATCTATAGTAGTTGCTTTTGCAAATTAACCAGTATTTTGACATGGTTTACCTTAAATTGTTACAAAGAAATAATCCAGTGACCTGTATTTAAACATGGGTAAATGACTAATGGAAATTGTTCTAAGATGTATTTTGTTTCTGTAAAGTCTGCATTTTTAAACTTGTTTATTTTTGGACTAATTTCATGCAGGTAATTCCTCTAACTCATAAAAGCCAGATATTTCCTGTGAGTAAAAAGAGCTGCTTACAAAAAATGTATTAATATGTAGTTTTAAAAGAATTTTTTTACTAGCAAAAAATAAATATTAAATTCCTGGTTTGTGGAATTTGTTCCCATTATTTCAGCAGTAAGTCTGACTGTTTATAACTCTTAAAAACTGGGTTTCAATAATGGTGGTAGGCATAACACAAATAGCCCATTGTGTTGCTTTGTGCTTAACAACAAAACAAAGGAACAGCTAAAACAGGTAAAGTGTGGAAATACTCAAAATTTTGTGCTCAAGTGTGCCTTAGCTGAGAAAAGAATGATACATACTGTTAATGAACACGAAATGCCTGTATACATTTTCGGTGTATGCACAAGGAACTTTGTTTTAAAGTCAAATTGGAAGCTATGTAAAAGAAAAAATATGAACAAAATCAGAATACACCTCTTCATTTATATATCTAAGTTTTCTCTACTTTAAAAATGTGCAGATTTTTTATTCTTTTGCCACTCTCATGCCTGATAAGAATTTAAATCTTGGTCAATTATGACGTTTAAGTTGTGGATACACTCTGTTCAGAAGTTTTATAATTCCACATTCTTAAGCTTAAGTTTGGAGAATGTTGCATATAATAGGTCAGTTTCTACTGATCTCAGTAGAACAACTTAATTGACACATTTATTGTGAGATCATCAAGATTTTAAAACGTATTCTGTTTTTTTCCAAGTTTCGTTGCACTCTGAAAACGTGTCTCACGATGTATTTCAGTTTAAAACACTGTTTTTAAATCTGGATATGTATATGCACTCCAGAAAACCAGTATTGTTGGTATAAAGCTAATCAAAAACAGCATAGCTGTAAAAAAAAAGAAGAAAAAAAAGGTGTGACCAAAATAAAGAATTAAGAATGAAAGATGCAAAAAAATCAAAGTTTGTGGCCAAAATGAAAAAATGTTGATGATTAAAATTTTATGCAAACTATTGTGATTAAGCATTCAGAATTTTACAAAGTTTGTAGAGTATGCATATCTAGTACAAAAATCACATGTGTTGCTGTTTTATATGTAGCTATGTATCAACAAAAAACAGCACCCCATGTGATTTCTTGGACTTAATTTTGAGTGATACAGTTTTGCTTCCTCTGCATTGTGGCTAAAAAATAATATTTTGTGTGTCATGCATGTGGAGATGATATTCAAAAAACTAGAAATAAGTTACTTTCTCGTATATGATGAAGCTTGATAGGTTTATATATATGGGAATAGCATTTTGTATTGAGAGTTTATGGTTTGAAGCATTTCTATTTCTAGTTTTTTTGTACTCAAAATACTGATAAGGTGTTTTGAATTGTTAATTTCTATCAGTTAAGCAGTAGTTTCAAGAGTTTTCCTTCTCAGGGACTGATTAACTTGTATCAGTTTTCCCCTGTTTCACTGATTGTTTTTGCAACTGATAACATACCCCCTGATTTTAATAAGCTATATGAAATTTGTAATTTTTTCATTATGATAAACTGTTGGATAATTTTAGTACTATATTTTTATAATTTGATACATGTGTTCTACTAGAATGATACAAGCCATTGCACAGCCATTTGGGCAGGTCTTTGACATTTTTAAGATTTTGGGTGATGGTCTAGTACAAGACTTCAGTAATCAGGTCATCAAAATACCGCCTGCTACAGGAATATCCAAACGTTCATCTTCAGCACACGTTAATTCAGACAGCCAAGGTTTTCTCTTGCAGAGCAATAAAAAGTTCTTGGTCTGGCCAGGTGTACCTATTGGAAAATCTGTGTAAGTAAATTTTAAATTAACTGTAATGCCTGTTCAGGATATTAATTTTATTTATGCTTTGTATCCAATTAATAACGGATTAACTGAAAAGAAGATATAGAAGTTGTAATACAAATTTATAAACACGTAATGTAAAGCTATAACTGAGAAGTTGATGTTGCTTTACTACACTTTTCCTGTATGCAATTTGATAATCATATTTAACTCTACTGTTAAATTTGCATATAACTAAAAACTAGAAAATAGTAGTCATGGTATTAAGTTCAAGCAATGAATATATAAATAAAATATCAATATGCATAATGGTGAATGTGAATGAGCTGATAAAACACCGGTTATAGCTCAAATGATGTATAACAACTTTTCATTGAATATTTTAGAACAAAGCAAATGACCCTTCGAAATGGTTCAAGTGCAGACTCACTTTATTTATGCATGAATATCAAAGGTGACACTCAGCAGTTTCAGGTAAATGTTGAAGAAACCTTTTTGATAAAACATTCATTAACTTAAAAAGAACATTGAAAGCTTTGGAAGAATGACTATTTTTTATTAAAGACCACTGAGTGCTGTGACTTGGTTGTTAATATGTAAATATGATATTTTATTTGAAAATGTATTATACTTGTATCTGAGAAGACCAAAAGTATTTTGAAAACTTTTTAAATACTTTAATCCAAACTTTTAGCGGATTTTTAGTATTTTATGTCACATTGTTTTTTAAGGTAGTTGATTGCCCTAAATGGAGCTTGACTTTCATTACCAAAACATATTAAACTTTTTGACAGTTTCAGCTTAGTCTTACCACTTTGTGTGCAAAGTAAGGTAGTTCTAGCACACATAACCTCTATAAAAAATTGTTGAGAAGTAGAATAAAGACTATAATCTTACAATAAACATCATCATCATCATCATC